AAAAAGTATGGACGCTGCCGTCAACGTGTTAATGCGGTCGCAGAAGGGAATTTACCCAAATGGTCAGGCGTGCTTCTCGGTCTTGGTCGTTTGATGCATACTCTCCATCAAAGCTTCAATCTGCTGTAGCCCGATGCGTGCAGATGCGAAGTATGGCGCATGCGCTGGTGTCTACTGCGCCACACCTCGCATCGGCTGTGCGCTGGTGTCCACCACAATACCTTGGTATTATCATCCAGATACACTTTTCATCTATGGCGTTAGGACTCCTCATCAAAAGTGACTGGAGACTCAGTGTTGAGGCTTACGTTCACAGCTCGTGTCGCGAATGTGCCACTAGCTCAGTGCACGACCAGTAGCAATATTGAGGCTCTCGAAGCATTCTCCAGGTCAGGCAGATGCAGTGGACAAATGAAAGAAAATAATAGAAATAGAGCGTTGAAGCGGAAGTTATTACTCAGAAAAACAAGCAAAGCACAAAGGACAAGAACAACACGGACAGCTGCGATAACTGTATCTTATCAAGCACGCTGTTACATCTCAGAGACGGATCGGGCAGTCAAAAAAGTACATCTTCGAAGACTTGAAGGGGAATAGGGGGAGAAGTAAGTCGGTCGACGAAGGTTCAGATGGGGAGCGTGCAACAGAATCGTCCGGGAGTGGCGCCGTCGCGCGCGGTTACTTGCGCGGCGCCGTAATGCGGCACTTTTTGGATGGGCGCGGCAACAACAGACTATTCGATTGGAGCGACAGATTTGCTGCGGTCCACATTAACCCTTTTGGCCGTGGACCATGGGACGATTCTGTTGATTCTGATTATGAATCTAAATTATGAAATGATGAAATTGAATGAATCTGAATTATGAAATGAATTATGATTATGAATCTTCTGATTATGATTCTAAATAATATCAATACTGTAGATGTAGAGGCACACAGCGATATAATAGCGAATTTCGAATAATACAATAGCGAGTTTCCCTATAGTGACGTTCCCTGAATGGATAGTGGGCAATACTGTAAAGACCACCTATGGCTTTGTTTGGACCGCAGCACATAACCATAAAAACAAACAGTATGGAACAGAAAACGAAGTAGCATGGCACTGACCAAAATGTCTAAGGGAGAAGTCGGTATAGCGTCCTTTTGAAATTCAAAGGAACGCCGCACGACTCGTCCACTACAGTCGCGACGTCGCGGCCGCGACCACAAGCGCGGGTCTCCGGACGATTCTGTTGCTACACACCCGGTTCAGAAATACCGCTAGAGTTCACAAAAAGCAGAATCTGAAACACTACCACTAAATACCAGTGGGGAATAACGACTGTGGCAGGCGATGTATTCTCGAAAGTAGCGAGTGGCGAGAATTAGTTTGTTTGTTTAGCTTGAGCGCATAGCTGAGCATATGGTAGGCTGTGAAGTTCTCTAACATTCGAAGCTTTTAGTCTGAATCAGAGACAAATTTGAATTATATTTACCACTATAAGTGCTGCAAGTTCTGCTGTTTCAGCGCTGTTTTGTTATACGCACGTTTTCAACTACCAACGATTGGACGTCGAAGTATTGAGCGAAGATCCTATTCTTATTATCTATCGCAACTTTGCTCCACAAAATTTCGTTGCAGATTTCATATCAGACGCCAGGAGGAGGATATTCACAACACAGGTGATATTATAATAGTGGTATACAATAATGACCCATCAGCTTCGTCCGCCGCTCTGCAAGTACTTCTCAAAAGCTTTCTTCCACTCAACCAACTTGCTAACACCCCCTCTAAATGCACGGGCCGCGATCGAGTTGATGTGTTCTTTCACTCTCAGCTTAAAGTAGAGTTCTCAGTGAAAATGCAGTCTATCAAAAGTCAAGGTAGAGGTGGTAATTGATGCAGAGACGAAGAAAAATAAGAAACGACCCAAAACCCGAAATGAACCCCTTTCAGCCCGCTTGAGGAGGAGTGAGCCAGCGGTGGGAATGCAGCGGCGCGAGCAGCTCAGAAAGGGCTCCATTCCCTCGCTGGGGTGCGTATTTTTCGGTTCTTATCGGTGCTGATCTCATCGAGAGCTCGTTCTTTCGAGGTTGGCTAGAGCCAGAAAGGCGAGAAGTCAGCCAATCGGTGGCAGTGTAGCGGTACGAAGCCGCCGGATTGGCCCTGCTGGGTCGTTGGGCATACCCTTTGCTGGGAATAAGCATCGTGACGCACCCTTAGGAATGCAGCCTTTCTTTTTTACGGGTACATTTCCCCTTTTCGACCTACGACCTTATCGTGGGATCTTCCTTCGGCTAAAGGTGGACACTTAGTGGGGAGAAAACGCAATTAGAGAGCGATAAAAACCCTTTAAATCCACTGCGTAGATCTTGTGAGATTAATCGTAGTACGACTGAGAGACGCAGCGCAGTGGGGAGGAAACCGCGAAAGAGCATACCGTATAATAGGGCACAGACACCAAGTCTGCTCTGAGTGATAAGAACGGGCATTGGTGGCGGGATGGCTCTAGTGCCCTTGTCGACCTTCGAGTTGCGACAACGCCACGAATCCCACGATTCCTTGTGCTCAGGAGACGCTGCTACTTCACTCGCGAAGAGAATTTTCTGGAGGATCTATTCGTGGTCTGTGCCTTTAAGTCAACTTCCTGAAGTGTTGAGGTTTTCGCAGTGTCTTCTCGCGTATTTCCTCTTTAGTCTCACTGATGTGAAACGGTCAGCCTAACAAGGAAAAGGGGCCATAACTGCAACGTTCTCTATGTTTCCTTCAATTTATTCCTCACTGCCTCTTCGCAACTTTTACCTACCTCCTATGCCTCGGCAGTTGCATATTTTCAGTTCTCGATGACTTGTGGTCCTTAATGTATACACGCGGAGGCTTTCTATTAGTACTATGAAATAATAGTATAATGAAAAGAACATATACTATAACTCACTCTTCTCTTATCCTCTTAGCACACAGGTTCTCTTAGGGTTATGGAATTTCGTCTTAGTAATCCTACTTGAGTCGTTGAGTTAAGTCAATCGATTGTGAATTACATGACTGCAAGTATGCCGTACCTTATTCTGCGATCGACCAATATATAAATAAATATATTTTCGAGCGAAAAGCCACACCAATGCCATCGCGGCTACGATATTCTTTTAGCTTCTAGCGGCTGAATATATCATAGTTCTTTTCAGGAAGTAGTAGACCGTACCCAGAATAAACCGGATGCCTACACGGAGCGTAAATCTAGAATCGTCAGCGGCGCATGGATTGAACATGAAGATACCATTTCAATTGCCAGAATGTTCAGATTTTTGAAGACAATGCTGCCATTCGTGAACGTTGATAATAGTGAAATGTGGCAGGTTTGTTTCGAAAATTGAGCCAGATTAGAATAACCAAAGATTAAGTTATGGATTGTGAGCAAAGTGATTCATTAATACATCGAATGATGCCCAATCAGGTTCTCTCCTACCATCCTGGTAATCACTACGCACCTCACTATGACTACATCCCAGAACAATATGATTCATTTGTGAAGAAGATTGGAAATCGATTCGCAACATTTCTTCTGATGCTTCCAGCCGGCAGTAAAGGGAGGAGGTTGGTGGATATACGTAAAGTACCTTGAATTGCGATAGATATTGAATGCATTTGAAGCGGAAGCATGTGTAGTCTGCTGCGGATGTAGAGATGAAGAAGCAGAGAAATTTTCAAGATTCCGCAAAACAAGGCCCCTTTTTATTTGACCCAGCTGCGGACAGGCAGCAACAAGAAACGAGCCGTTTGAAAGTTTGAACTCATTAGTCAACGTCATGTCAATAAATGTCAATCATGTTCCTACTGATAACAGTTGATTTACTTCTTCTTGAATATTCTTGTAAACAGAACAAAGCATGTTGAGATCTGTATATCATAAGCCCTCCATCGAAAGCAGTTTTAAGTTGACGACATTACATTGAACATAAGTGGATGTTATACTCCCTTCATCCCTCAGCGGTTTATCGAGGGCAAACCCCGGGATTAGCCCGACTAGTAGGAAGGATACCACGAGGGAAATTGTAAGGTCCGTACCTACCTAGATCACTCCAGCTTCGTCGCAAAATTGCGCGGTTAGGGCGCTAATCCTTACGGGCCTGCAACCATCGACTTCCAACGCTTCCCACCCACCGCGAGAGGTGGTGAGATCAGCGTGCATTGATGTAGAGATCAGCGTGCTCTCTCAAACGACGTGCTCTCTCGCGTATTTTGTCTTCTTTGACACCATATCCAACGTTACCGAAGGTTAAGACTCTAGTATCAGCGTTCTCAAAGACTTCTCTTACGTAGTAGTAGTACATAGCTAAGCCACCACGTAGCATCACCACGAAGCGCTAAAAGCACCAGTTTAATCCCGAGGTTTGCCCTTAATTTGAACCGAATTTTCTGATCAAGAAATAGCGCTGAGCAAATCAACAACTAAATATGGTTCTCGTGTGGTTGGGGAACTGGAAGACGCTAGAGTACGCGAGCCACTTAGAATACCTGAGAACAAGTCTTAGGGAGGCGGAGGGATTCCAAAAAAGGATTTGAGCAAGTGTTCTTCCTAGCATTTCTCATCTTTCCTGGCCCTAGTGTCACTCCATCACGGCTTTTGAGCTTCTTCAAAGGGATTGCTGCTACTCACAGAGCTTGGTTAAATTTTTCAAATCGCTTCTCGTTTGGACCACAATTACTGTAAAAAAAATGTACACAACATCAAAAATGGAAGGAGGGCAAAACAAAAAGGCGGGCCCGTGGATTTCAGCCCAGAGATAGACCAGGTCTCTTCTCGAACAAGCTGGGACAGAAGAGAGGAACTTACGCGGATGTGAAGGCGACGAAGCCAGCGAGAGCAAGAATGAGAAGCCGCATTCCTGAAAATTCAAATTTCAATCGGACAGAACTCTTTTTTGGAAACTGCATAGCTCGAGGGTTCCCTGGACTACATAATTCACATCATGAAGCAAAGAGGTTCAAGCAGAAGGCAATAAAAGCAAGCTCACGAGACAGAACAGGGGTTAGATAAGAGCAGTCAGGCATTGTAAAGTAATACCGGATAAGTCGTAGCCTGTTTCAATTACCGTAGATAGCGGGTACTGTATATGGATAAGTCGCGGCCCGACTGGATCACTGAATCCAGTAAGCTGCTACGCCCCGACTGAACACCGACTGCAAAAGGATGTCCCAGCGTTTTGCAAACGAGAGCCCGACCTACCCACACAACTGTCAGCCTGCATCAATGAGGCTGAGGGGTTCTGTTTCTTGTAGCAGAAGTCTGCACTACATAACAATGTTTT